TTCAGTGATGTGACAGAAGGGGCAAGATAATGTGAGGAAGGATCCATAGGAGTTGTGAATCTAAAATATAAAGGAGAGAAGAGTTCAAGATGACACCGAGGATTTTTGATTGAGTTTATTTTAAGATAATTGAGACACACAATCCTATTAAGCAATGAAATCTCTCCCCTCTTCTCCCCCCAGCAAAGTATCGTGTAGGTGAAGAAGATGGCGTGTTTTAGGTGACCTCCAAGTAACTTCCAGTAGAGGAGGAGAATCTGAGGTTAGGCAGCTTTCTTCCTGAAACCCCAAACTAGCTATTTATGGTATTTGTGTTTATCCCCAGAAAATAAAAATATCAAGCAGATTGTCGCCATTTTTTTTTTTTTTTCAAACTCCGCAGCCCTCTTATGTCTTGAGTACTCTTAGGGTAACACTCATGTTCCTTATGAATTACACCTGCAGTGCACTTACCTTTGAAAAAAGTAGCATTGTCACTGCTGCGGATGTTTTTCATGCTGGTCCCCTTGGTGTGTGTTTGGGTAATACACCGAACAACGCAAGTATACATTCTAATTGGAAAAATAGTGGCGGAGTGTTTTAAAAAACTGGTGATTAAGTCTAACAAGATGGCTAAGGCTTTATTTTTTTTTATGTTGTCTTTCATGTGTCTTTGAAACTCGAGTATGCCTAGATCTGACACAGACCCGGATTCTGGACAGTATCCATTTAAGATCAGCAGAGATAACGCTTGACAGGACAGCTTATCTGCCCCCAGGACCGCTGGGCCATTAGCATACCTTGATAGCGAGTGATGGACAAGGTGCTCCTGACTTGCTCTGGCAGGGATGCTTTTTAAGCTGTTAGAAGCTAATATCCACCATCAGTTAGCAGTTGGGTTAGAGCCATGGTGGACAAACTGTGGCTCTCGAGCCACATGCGGCTCTTTGGACCCTGGAGTGTGGCTCTTTCACAAAAGACCAAGACCACGGCCTGGGTGAGTCTATTGTGAAGAAGTGGCGTTAGAAGAAGTTTAAGTTTAAAAAATTTGGCTCTCAAAAGAAATTTCAATCGTTGTACTGTTGATATTTGGCTCTGCTGACTAATGAGTTTGACGACCACTGGGTTAGAGTTTCTTTATCTGAATTCATTTGCCCTGATGGATACAATGAAGGGAAAGCAGCATCCAAAGTTACAGTGTGAAGGAAACGTTAGAGAAATCTTTTGTTTGTTTACTAAATATTCATATCACTGAGACAAATGATTCTAATAGGCAATGAAGTCCCCCTTCCCCTTTTCTCCCCCAGCACAGCGAGCCATAGACATTCATCTGTTTGTTCAGCCAGTGTTTACTGAGCATTTCCTCTGTGCCCGGGAGAGGATACCATGCTGAGGACAAAAGACAACGCCTTCAAAATATGGTTGCGGGTGGTTATGTAGGTTTAGAAATATTGTCATTGAATTGACAATGGTCAGTCTTTTTAAATTTATTCTCTAATGTCCTGCAACTCCCAGTGGGGGACACCATGCTCATGGGAGTGACTGCGTGAAGCTGTTCCGTGCTTTGAAAGATGGAGGAAGGCCTGGAACTTGAAGGTCATCTACCAATTTATCTGAGTCACAGCGTGTCCCCTGCTGCCATTTCTGCAGGCTGTCTTTCCTGCATCTTTGAGAGTTCAGGCAGCCTTGTGAATAGCGGAGAGAAGAAGCATATGGCCACAATACACAGGCATAGACTAGGCTAGCAGTGCACCCCACTTTCCCGCTGTAATTGGATTTAGTAAGCAGGTGGCCAACACTTAATTACAGAAGTAAAGTCTTTTAGGGCAATGGCAGAATTCCTTCCACACAAATACTCTAAAGCTCAAGAGCTAGGCGAAAATAAAACCTTGAAGGAAGTCTTGGTTTTGGGAAGGCAGTTGAGGTTATACTAAATCTTAATTCTTTGCCTCTCCCCTGCCCAGGCTGATTTGATCACAAAATTCTCCTCTGGGTCCACATGACTCCAGAACATATTAGATAAAATTCGTTCAATCATTTGGGTGCCTTTGCCCGCTCAGTGGCAAAATTGTGGGGATATAAAGATATTGTGTTTTTTATTTTATGTCATATAGATAAAATGTGAAAATGAGAGGTAGAAGGAATTTCAAAGATTATTTTAACTCCTCATTTTATCAAAGGAGAAACTGAAGCCATTTGGCCAATAGCATATAGCAAATTTTTTAAAACTTATTTTTCTTTTTTTATTGATTTCAGAGAGGAAGGGATAGGGAAGAGAGAGAGAGAGAGAGAGAGAGAGAGAGAGAGGGAAGAAAGAGAGATAAACATCAACGATGAGAGAGAATAATTGATCTGCTGCCTCCTGTAAGCCCCCTACTGGGGATTGAATCCAAATCCAGGCATGTGCCCTTGACTGGAATCAAACCCAGGACTTTTCAGTCTGCAGGCCAACACTCTATCCACTGAACCAAACCAGTCAGGGCTCACATAGCAAGTTTTAACAACAGTGAAGCTAGGAGTCAGGAATAATTTTTCTGATGCTATTCCATGACCCTCTAAACCTGACTGCTACCATTATGTTTCCCCACCCCCCAACCCAGGTTTAAAAAAAAAATTCAGATTTATTTATTTAGTATTTTTTAAATTCTCACCAGAGGATATTTTCCCATTGATTTTTTTAGAGAGAGTGGAAGAGAGAGGGAAAGACAGAGAGGAATATCGATGTGAGAGAAACAGATTGATTGTGCCAAGAGCAGGGCCTGGCCTGGGGAGGAGCCTGCAACCAAGGTATATGCCCTTGATCAGAATCCAACCCGGGCCCTTTGGCCCACAGTCTGGGCTCTATCCACTGAGCCAAATGGTCTAGGGCTCCACCCTCACCCCCACTCCCAGGTTTTTATCCAGAAGCATGGGAGCTTGTAGGCTAAGCTTTTAGGCCACACCTTTCCTTTTTCTGGGATGTTTAGTAAGATTTCATGGAATGGGAAAAATATTTGTTTAGGAAAGGGCAGCTCTCTGAACAGATCAGAAATGAACCAGAGCCCTGTAGCTTTTTCATATCTTCCACTATATAGGGTTTCATAGTTCAACTTGTCTGCACAGAAATATGAAGGTGTGATGTCATCAACTATGAGCACTCATGCTTTACAGCTCTCATGTATTTTTGTTTTAAGGAAGGAAAATAGAGGCGGCAGGTAACCAAATCTGTTACCTGGGTACGAACTGGGATGTTTTTTGGCTCATCTAAAGTGATAACTAATAGCCCACGCCATTCCCTCTCTGTTAAATATCTTTTTCATATTCTCTCCTTTTAAAACAATGCTAACTACACGACATTGCAATTCAATATTTAAATAAAATTGGTTCAAACCTTGATCCTACCTATGGGGAAATTTAACATTTCACTATCTCTGAGGATTCTTGGCAGGAGCTGGGCAGTGGCTTATATTTCTTCTAGTCACCTCTGGCTTTGATGTTTTTCTGCTGCTAAATTTATGTTCCCTGACATGCTGTTGTGTTTCTGCACTTGGCACCAGGACGCCTCATGACATCAGCCCATTCCTGTATTCTCCCATAATACTGTGGATTCAAGTTTTTTGTGTAACAGATTAGCTCCAAACTTGGTGGCAATAAATGTTTATTTATTATCCCATCCCATTTCTGTGCAGTAGGAATTTGGGAATAGCTTAACTCTGGGGTTCTGGCTCAAGGTCTCTTAAGAAGTTGTAGTTGAGATGTCAGCTGGGGCTGTAGTCATCTGAAGGCTTGACTGGGGCCAGAGGATCCGCTTCCAAGATGACTCATTGATGTGGTGCTGGGAGTTCGGCAGGATGTCTCAGCTCTGCATCCAGGGGTTCCTCTTTCCTCATCTAGAAAAGTTCAGCCAAAGTGAGCACTCATTTATGTTTTTAAAAAACTCATGAATGTAACTGGTATTCAGTATTTTGTGATGACATCTATCTACACTATTAAAAGAGAAAGATGCAAATTGACAGTACCTTCGTGATGACCACCAGACAATCGGGAATGAGTATGCAAGTTGACCCAACAAAGATAGATGGTTAATTTGCATACACTGGTGCAGAGCGGCTGGGGGCAGGATGCTTGCGTCGTTGTCATGGCGACGACACAGGTGTTCTGCACCATCGCAGCCACTCTGGGCCTCTGGGCAGCGGGGGAAGGCAGAAAGGCGGCTCCAGGCCTGAGCAAAGGTGGTGCCAGCAGCCAGGGGAAGGAAGGCCCATTCTTGCACGAATTTTTGTGCACTGAGTCTCTAGTATATATAAAAGCCTAAGTGACTGGTTGTTTGGTTGACCGGTCACTATGATGTGCACTGACCACCAGGGGGCAGATGCTCAATGCAGGAGCTGCTCCCTGGTGGTCAGTGCGCTCCATAGCCAACCTTCTGCAGCCTGCTAAACTCTGGCTGTCCCTCCCCTAGGCCGGCTGGCCAACCTTTCACAGTCCCTCTGGTCCCAATCGGCCCTGATCACCAGCCAGGCTGAGTGACCCCCACCTGTGTGCTAATTCATGCACCAGGCCTCTAAGTTTAAAATATACTTAAAATGTTCTTTGAATGTAATGTAAGTAAATGTAAGATTTACTTTTTATATCCTGGACATTTCTACAGTCACTTGACTACATGATTAATAGAGGAGTTTGCGGAGAATAATGTGACTCCAGAGGTAGTTTATTTCAAGTAGGTATTTAGGAAACAATGAACTGAGTATTTGAACTATGTGTACCTTTTTCCAGAGAGCATCACATTAAATCAGCTGTAGAATTCTGAAGGGAAAAATGAACTGGGTTATCCATGTCTCAAAGGTACAAAGAAATAGAACAGTCCTCTCTTACACACCATCTCTGAGCATAAAGTCAAGGGGGTTATTTAACTCATCGTTTCAAAGGGGCTTGTTTACAAAATATATTTGTGTGACAGTTGGATATGCTTTGTTTTTCTGCAGGACTCAATCACTGCAGTTGTCAACTCTGCCACTTTATGTGCACATTTCTCTTCCACTATGAGAAGACCAAGAGTATTGTACATCTGCCTGGCTTTCTGTAGCCATCTGCTTCTCAACAGTGCCACACAATGTTTGGCCTTCCCCACAATGGAAAGAGGGGAGATAGCACATGCTCATGAAAAAAGAGGGCAGCCTGAGAGGATAAACACGGATGACCTAGAAAATAGCTCCATTGCTTCCAAGGGCACTCCCCAGCCCGTGGTCTCCGAAGATCCAATGATAGCATTAGCCGGACCATCAGCAATGCCATTAAATAGAGTTCCCCCACTTAGCAAAGAGGCCCATCCTACAGGAGCTGGGCTCATGCAGCCTAACAGCCCTGGTGTCCACACTGCTACTGAGCCAGGGGTCCCACTAGGGGAAGAAGTGGTTGGTTCCAGCCGGCCAGAGAGAACGTCTCCCGAAAGCCTGCTTCCCAAGGCCATGGTGAACAGCCCTGTCGTGGCAACTGGTTCTTGGGATGTGGATGAGAAGGAGGAACTCTTTAGTAGTACCAACACTGAGCCCACTGTAGAAGGGACTGCCGAAGCAACACAGGGTTTCCTGAAGTCTGTGGACAATCAGTTGTTTACAACTGAAAGTCAGGGAGGCGCTAGTCTGGGACATTCACCTTCATCCTATGTGAATACCAGCAGAATACTAACCACCAATCCAAGGACTGAGAAATCTGAAGCAGACACAGATCAGAGGATAACTTCTCTTCCTGGTGCAGAGCCCATAGCAGGCACTGAGCCCGGAAGCCTCATGTCTGATAGGGAGAAGCCCTCACAGATGACAGCTGGTAATACCCAGGCAACTGCCACCGTGCATGGGCTTGCAACCCCCGAGTACAGCCCGAGTGTTGAGGCAGAAACTGACAGCCTGCTGGGAGCCCCCAAAGTCCCAGTGAGTGTCAGCACAGCTGTTCCAGCCACCTCTGTCACAGGCGATGAGTGGGATGACACCAAATTAGAGAGTGTGAGCCAGATAAAGACCCCAAGGCTTGGAGACAACACAAAGACTCCGGTGAGAATGGAAATGTCTCCGACAGCCCAAGTAAGCCCTAATGGGGTGGAAGGCGTGGAAGGGGACGAAGCTCTGACAGAGGCTGCACAGATGGGTCTGGGGCTGCCTGAAGGGGAACCACACTCGGAGCCAGCTCTGCTAATGGCACACGGGGAGGGGAGATCATCTGCCGTCACGGATCGAATTGCCTTCACTCCCACAAGCCCGATGGAAGACACAGAAGTCTCTGTTGTGAACCTGTTTCTAAACACTGCAGACTCTGTGGAGCCCACCATGGAAGACGATGCCATATTTTTCTCAGAGACCACTATTCCCATCTCAGACTATAAGTCTGAGGCTTATCAACCACTGAGAAATGCATTTGAAGGTAAAAGAAACTAAAAACAAGCTTTGTTTAGTTTGGTGTGCTTCAATTTGGTTTTATCATTTTAAAAAATGTATATACTTTATTGATTTTTCACAGAGAGGAAGGGAGAGGGATAGAGAGCCAGAAACATCGATGAGAGAGAATCATCGACTAGCTGTCTCCTGCACAACCCCCACCAGGGATGTGCTCACAACCAATGCACATGCTCCTGACCAGAATCGAACCTGGGACCCTTCAGTCCACAGGCTGATGCTCTATCCACTGAGCCAAACCGGTTTCAGCTGGTTTTATAATTTTTTAAAATGGAAATATAATTGTCATTTAGCATTGTACGAGTTTTAGGTGTTTGATTTTTAAAAAGTGATGATTTAGAAGTAATTTCTCTATGCCACCTCCTGCTTCCATGGGAAACTCATTAGGCGGGAGTGAGGGGCACACCCTGGGTGTGCAGGATGCTCTATGAGCCTCTGGAGTGCCCTTAGCTTTCTACCCAGGTGGATTGCCTATAGCTTCCTGGTGGCCACAGTGTAAACAAACCACCCTCAGAAACAGAAATCTGGGAAGCCTCGTTTCCAAGCAATGCATGAAGTTTCTTTCCTAAAATTTCAGGGATTTGTGAGAATCTGAAAAGATCCCATGGATTTTCCTGGCTGGATGCTACAGCTGTGTAGCATTCAGTGCCCACGTCCGTCTGTTATGCCAAGGTTTTGTGCAACTTGAGAGCCGTCCCCTCCCTCCCCACCTCTCTGAGGGGTAATATTCACTGGGGAGGTGAGAAAGAGGTGATGGTGTGAGATAAAACATCTAATCTTTTTACCTGTAGGCAGAATCAGCCCTCACTTGGTGCTTATTATCAGTTATCCAAGGACAGCAACGACAAAGAAAATTAGCTGAGACATCCATGAAGCAAATATTAGAACTGGCAGCAACTGAATTTAAAGGAACTGTATTTTGTGCATTTTAGGATATTTAAGTACTGTAATTCTTTCACTGAGGGGTTATAGATGGAGACAGACGAACTCATTTTGTTATTTGCCTTAAAATGACTTCAAATCTCTGTTAAAAAAAAAAGTAAGTTATTGCCCTAATTGGTTTGGCTCAGTGGATAGTGTCAGCCTGTGAACTCAAGGGTCCCAGGCTCGATTCCAGTCAAGGGCATGTACCCTTCATTTTCAGTATTTGTTTAACAAATATTTATTGAGTGTCCATTATGGGCCACACTCTGACACCCTAGATATATATTAATAAAAAACCAAAACAAAACAAAACAAAAAAAAGCATGTACCTTGGTTGTGGGCACATCCCCAGTAGGGGGTGTGCAGGAGGCAGCTGATTGATGTTTCTAATTCTCTATCCCTCTCTTTTCCTCTCTGTAAAAAATATTTAAAAAAATATATTTTTAAAAAAGTTATCTCAGCCCTAACCGGTTTGGCTCAGTGGATAGAGCGTAGGCCTGCAGACTGAAGGGTCACAGGTTTGATTCTCGTGAATGGCATGTACCTTGGTTGCAGGCACATCCCCAGTAGGGGAAGTGCAGGAGGCAGCTGATTGATATTTCTCATCTATGTTTCAACTCTCTATCACTCACCCTTCCTCTCTGTAAAAAATCAGTAAAATATATTTAAAAAAATAATCTAAGTTTTAATAAAAAACAAAAGTACACAAAAATACATAAAAATTACGCCTCAATAGGTATATATAGACCAGTGGTATTTAAAAGGGGACAGTTTGTCTCTCCCCACCCCCTCATTTGGCAATGTTTGGAGACATTTTTGGTTGTCCCAGCAGAGAGGTGCTGCTGACCACTGGCACTAGTGGGTAGAGGCCACGGATGTTGCTACATACCCTACAGAGCACAGGACAGCTCCCCAACAACACATTTAACTGAGCCAAAATGTCAACGGTGCTGGGAAGCCCTGATAAGACTTAATATTCTTCCAACACTTCATTTAGAAAATGTATAAATATATAGAAAAATGTGAAGGAATTATGTTTAAGTGGTATAATAAACAATGTAAGATACTAATTTATATATGAATGTAAAAATACTCCTATCCTTGATATATATTTATTTTATTTTATTTTTATTTTTTATTTTTGCCAAAAAGCTTTGGGTAAATATTTATCTCTTAGTATTAACCATATAGGTGTTTTTTTTTTTTTTTTTTTTTTTTTTTTTTTTTTTTTTTTTTTTTTTTTACTTTGTTTTCCCCAAAAGAAGTTCATCTAGAAATAAGGGGAAGAAAAACACCAATACAGATAAGTCTCTGCTGCCTCGGTTCTGCACTGCCTCTGGCTCTTGGCCTTTACATGCGGGAGTGTTACCATCTGACAAGCCTTAACATTTGTTGCTGATGGATAATATTTTTCTTTTATTATGTGTGGTTGGTTAGATAACAGCATGGACAAGGAAAGACAGTGTAACTTGCATATGCTCCTTCCGATTTGTTTTGGAATATGTACAGCTTGTTACTTCTGCTAAGTAGACTAATTAGTGGAAACTATCAAATTAGTAATATGTTTTATAAAGTATTATTGGGATTGAATTAAAATGATAGAAGATTGAATTTTACATGTCCAATTCATTTTTTTAAAAAATGACTGAAAGATTGCCCTAGCCAGTTTGGCTCAGTGGATAGAGCGTCAGACTGCGACTGGAAGGTCCCGGGTTTGAGTCTGACCAAGGGCACATGCTCAGGTTGTGGGCTCAATCCCCAGGAGGAGGCATGCAGGAGGCAACGGGTCAATGATACTCTCTTATCATTGATGTTTCTATTTCTCTCTCCCTCTCCCTTCCTCTCTGAAATCAACAAAAACATTAAAAAAAATAAAATATATAAAAGACCGAAAGACCCAGTATAATGGAAGTTTTCATAGAAGCTTCCAGAAAATGTTTTGTAAGTTGGTTTTTAAGTTCATGAAGAGAGTTGAGTTCACATGATCAGGATGATATTAGATATGACAGAACAAGAAGTTTACTTAAATTCTCTGTAACACTTGAAGGTATTCCTGGAGCATTGAGTCATATAGTTCCAGATTATTCATTGCACAATTTAACCCATGATTCTTATGTACTAGACTTGCATTAGTTTCTAATAATGCAGCCTAAAAAGTAAAATGAGTTTGGTAATTGTCTGATTATTATTTTGAGTATTGAGTGTAGTCCTTACTTAGTTGTGACTACCTCACTTTTAATGGGCAACTTCTTTTTATTTATAAAACGAACACAGTGCCTGGTGCCTAGTAGGTGCTCAATAAATACAGGGCCAGTGAATGAGTAAATGAGAAATAAGAACTTTTCAGACTGAAATTATCCAATTTGACTGTCTGCATTGTCCAAATTAATCCATCAACTTCTCAATGGTCTTCATAGAGAAGCAATCAAATAATTCCATTTGCTTATATATTTTTTTGTTTTTGTCCCATAGAGTTAAAAAGAATGTCTGAAAAATTGAGATTGTTGGCAACAGTAGTTAAGGAATAGCCAAAAAGCTTTCTACCCATTTTCTGGTGATTATAAGAATTTTTCAAAATTAAGCCATTCAATTGCCAATCATTTTGGTTCTTGGGACTACTTAGGACATTATCTTTTCAGGATATGCAATGATTTCTTGGTGTTTGGGCATTATGAATGGATGAGTACCCTGAGATTATCAGTCTTCGGATTCAGCCTGTTCTTCAGCCAGTTCTGTTGAAGATCAGGTTTTAAAAGTAATTATGATAATTACTATATTTTATTTCTACAGGAAGTAGAAAGAATGAGAAATGTGGAGAATTTTTTTTCAATTTTTATTTAGAAAATTTTATATTTTTTCAACACCATTTATCTCCCCTATACTCTCTTCCACTTCCACTTCCACCTCTCCCCCTCCCCTATCCCCACAATCCCCACACTGTTGTCAATGTCCATGCCTTCTTTTTTAAATATTTTTGCTCACTCCCTTCCAATTGTCAGCCTGCTCTCTATCTATGCATTTGTCTCTAATATTTTGCTTGGTAGAGAAACTTTGGATGTTATTTTTAAATTAAAAAATTTAATTTAAAAAATATATTTCTATTTTTATTGATTTTAGAGAGGAAGAGAGAGGGAAAGAGCGATAGAAAAATCAATGATGAAAGGGAATCATTGATGGGCTGCCTACTGCAAGCCCCCCACTGGGGATCGAACCTGTTACTGGGGTATGTGCCCTGACTGGGAATCGAACCATGATCTCTTGGTTCACAGGTTGATATGCAACCACAGAGCCACACCAGCCTGGCTGGATGTTATTTTTAAAATTCTCATTACTATTTGTAGTTCTCACTCTTTTTTCTCTAACAGTAGTCATGTATTCCAAAGTACTATGTCATTTTGATTTCTTGCTATTTCATGAAACTATAACAATAGACTGTAAATTTATTTTTACATGTTTGTTTTCAAAAGTGTTCATTATGCTTTCAAAAATGAGGGCAACATAAAGAATGCTTACTGCTTAAAATGATAAAACTATACATTATTATCTTTTTATGGTGGAGCATTGTCTTAGGCGCTAGAGGTACAAAAAGGGCAATGAATCCTGGCTCTCAAGAGATTTACAGTCTCATTGAGAAAGGAAGAGGGAAGCAACACTTAAATAATGGTACAAAGTGCACGTATGAAGTCTGTGTAAGAACCTTACTGTATCTCATGTTGCCCTTTAACAGGTATGTCAGTACATCAAATATAAACATCTCTTCACTTCAAAGGAAAAAATAGTCTAAACTGGATGGGGAAAAGAAAAGGAATTGTGTTTGTATTGAAAAGCCTACAAACCTTATTTTAAAACACATAAATTGTTTCCAAAGAAAAGTATTTTAGCCCTGGCTGGTTGGGCTCAGTGGATAGAGTGTCAGCCTGTGGACTCAAGGGTCCCAGGCTTGATTCTGGTCAAGTGCGTGTATCTTGGTTCCAGGCACATCCTAAGTGGCAAGTGTGCAGGAGTCAGCTGATCGAAGTTTCTAGCTCTCTATCCCTCTCCCTTCTTTTCTGTAAAGAAATCAATAAAATATATTTAAAAAGAAAAGTATTTTAAGTAATAGGAAGTACCATGATCTCATTAATAAATATTAGAGAAAATCTTTTCAGCTGTCCCTAGAATGCTATATATTTTTTAATTTATCACTTATTGGACTTCCTAATATGCTATATATCTAGAATTAGTAATTAAAAAAGAGATGGTCTTCTAGAAATTAAATTTTAATAGTGGCTCGGTATTTGAAATTTACAGCACAGTTCCTCCCTAAGAAGGGGGCAAATATTGACCCTTATAAATAATGTGTAATAATTTATTTTAGAGGATTAGAACATAAAGGGATGTTGGACAGATACCTATATGCTCATGGCTGAAGAATGTCCCATTGTGTATATACACTGAGTGGCCAATTATAATATTATGATCTCTGAACACATAATAATTTGGCCACTCAGTGTATATCCTATATAATAAAAGGCTAACATGCAAATTGTCCCCTCGACCAGGAATTCGACCAGCAGGTAGGCCGGCCAACCGTCCATGTCTCCTCCCCTTGGCCAGGCTGGTCGGACCCCACCCATGCATGAATTCATGCACCGGTCCTCTACTACACACACACACACACACACACACACACACACACACACACACTCTGCGTGGCTAGATTATTTTGCGTTCAGAGATCATAATCTGGCTGCTCAGTGTATGTACTACAACTTCTTTATTCATTCATCCATTGACAGGCATAGTTAGCACAGTGGTAAAGAGCACTGCCTATGTAATTTAAGGCAAGTTCCTTAGCTTTTTTAAACCTAAGCCGTTTATAAAACAAGTAATAATAGCTGATATTTATTAAATACTAATCAAGTACTGGGCATGTTCCAGAGGTTTTACATGTGTCATGCAATCTTTATAACAATTCTATGAGATAGATACTATTCTTTCCATTTTCTAGCTAAGGAAACTCAAGTCCCAGAAATGTTAAGTAATTTGTTCAAGGTCATACAGCTGGTAAGTGGCTGAGTCAGACTTCATACCCAGGTGAATTGGCTCTTGAACCTGCATTCTTGATCGCTATGATAAATGGCTTCAATGGAATGATATTACTACCGTGTTTCCCCAAAAATAAGACATCCTCCGAAAATAAGACCAAGCGCATGGAAAGAGAAGACATCCCCTGAAAATTAGACCTAGCGCATGGAAAGATAAGACATCCCCTGAAAATAAGACCTAGCGCAACTTTGGGAGAAAAAATTAATATAAGACACTGTCTTATTTTCAGGGAAACAGGGTACTTTCCTCCCCTTAATACATGTGGGAAGGTGAAATAAGATAATGTCTACCATGCACTTAGCTTTTTGTGTGTTTGGCCTTAATGGAAAGTCAGGAAACATTAATTGTTGGAATTACTATCCCTTTAATAATAATGCTAACTTTCAAAATTGTTAACTTTCAAAATTGTCAATGTGAAAATTAATTTAAACAAATACTTCTGAGGATTTTTTTGAGAATAACTTAGTTCTTAAGAAATTGATTATGTTGAAAATCATAAAAGAGAGCTCAGTGGATCTTCTTATTTTGTTTTAGATTTTATGTCTTTTTAAAAAAATATATTTTTTTGATTTTTTACAGAGAGGAAGAGAGAGGGATAGAGAAACATCGATGAGAGAGAAACATTGATCAGCTGCCTCTTGCACACCCCCTACTGGGTATGTGCCTGCAACCAAGGTACATGCCCTTGACCTGAATCCAACCTGAGACCTTTCAGTTCACAGGCCGACTCTCTATCCACTGAGCCAAACCGGTTTCGGCCTATGTCTTTTTTTTTTTTTTTTGGCATGAACTTCTTCATCTCTATCTTAGATTGACTCACTACTCCTGACAGCAGCAACACCAAGAGCATGTATTTACTAACATTTTATTCCTGAGCGATCCCTTTGCCTTCCCACCTCCTGAAATAGCTACCTGACTGTTTTTTCAGTGTGTCAATTGTATAGTGACTTGTGTAGGAGCTCGATCTATTTTAAAACGTTGTTTCCTCTCTTTTAAGACACCCTCAGTCCAGAGCCTACGACGGCTGTTGCAGAGGCGGCAGCCACTTTCTCCTGGGTGACACAGGAGCCGCAGGTGTCTCCCCTCCAAGTGGGCAGAGGAGATGGTGAGACCGAGGAAGGAAAAGAGGTCCCCTCTGCGGCGTCTGATGTCCCCGGCGTTACCCAGCTGTCGAGAAGATGGGAGCCTCTGGCCACTGCAGTTTCAACTACAGCTGCGCCTCTGTCTGTGGAAGTCACTCCTGCGGCGGAAGGTCTGTAAGGGAGGGCGGGGGACTCAGGGTCACGGGGCTGGATCTTCCCCGTGGGTGGATGAGCAGTAGAATGAGTGAGGCAGATGGTGGCCCTGTCACCAGGGTGTGCGCACACACCTGGAGAGTGAACAGGAAGGTGGGCGAACGCTAATTTGGAGAAATGTCACACAGCCTCAAAGAATGAGGTGCTAGTTCCCAAGAAAAACCTTCTGGCGGCGTATCTTAGGGACTGGAGGAAGGCCTCACTTCCCGAGACCGCACTCCTAGTCGGACAACTCCGGCTGCTTGGAGTTGTTAAGGGGGAGAGATGAAGAGAGCCAGCATGTGGGTTTGAATCCCAGCTGTGGCCCTCTTTAGTACTGTGGCCTCAAGTAAGTTTCTTCATGTCTTCAAGCCTTGGTTTATTCCTCTTTAAAGAATGCCTATCTATCTTAGAGGTTATTTGAAGGGTTTGAAATAATGTCTACACACTGCTTTCTACATAGGAGGGCCTCACATGCTCTGATATCTTAAAGACAGTGAAGTTTTCAAGTTTGGGTGATTATCAGGATGACAAAAATTATTGTCAATAATTCTACATTTGTAATTTTTAATAATTGCAAAATTGCCATTATTTAATTATTTTGGGGGGGCCTCATATATTTGTCTCATCATTGGTTCAAGGAAAGCCCTCTTTTATTTATTAACTGAGTTATTATTATTTTTAAAAATATATTTTATTGATTTTTCACAGAGAGTAAGAGAGAGGGATAGAGAGTTAGAAACATCGATGAGAATCACCGATCAGCCGCCTCTTGCACAACCCCTACTGGGGATGTGCCCCCAACCAAGGTACATGCCCTTGACCGGAGTCGAACCCAGGACCTTTCAGTCCATAGGCCGATGCTCTATCCACTGAGCCAAACCGGTTTCGGCAACTGAGTTATTTTTAACAATGTAATAAATGCCTTTTAATCCTATTATTCTCCCCTCTCCCCCCCCAGAAATCCCCCAGGGCCTTGTCAGTAATCTACATGTAACTCCATGACCCTTCCCCCTCTGACGGTTACCATCATCCTGAATCTGGTGTTCATCATTTCCTTAACTTCCTCTTCTTTCTTTTTTAATTATGTTTTTATTGACTTCAGAGAGGAAAGGAGAAGGAGAAAGAGATAGAAACATCAATGATGAGAATCACTGATGGGCTGACTCCTGCACAACCCTCACAGGGGATCGAGCCTGCAACCCGGGCATGTGCCCTGACCAGGAATGGGACCGTGACCTCTCCTGGTTCATGACTCAACCACTGCGTCATGCTGGCTGGGCTTGACTTCCTTTTCTTTTAGTTTTATTGCATCTATATTTATTCCTAAAATTATACATTTAAAAATTTAAGTTTTTTTTTAACTTTATAAAATCAGTATTGTCCTGTAGGTAGTCTTTTTTGAACTTACTTCCCCTCCCCCCCCCCTTAATGTTCTATGGCAAAGATTTAATTACTGTAGCCCTTTTGTTTTGACTGCTTTGAATAAACTCCATTATGAAAATATATTACAGTTTATTCCTTCAGTCTTCCTCCATACTCTCCTAGTGATTTACATTTGAGTCATTTCCAGGTTTAGCTATAGCGAGCCTTGCTGCCATGAGTATTCTTTTTCATATTCTCCATTGTGCATGAGTAGGAGTTTCTCTTGGGTATATACTTATGAACGGAATTGCTGCGCCATAAGGTATATGACTGTCTGGCTTTTGGAGGAATAGCTCACTGTTTTCCAAAGTGATTGCACCAATTTATACTCCCAACAACAATATATGTGAGACTGTCTTGGGAGCCTTTAAGAATATTTTCTCAGGCTTTACCACTAAGGAGATTTTAATTCAGTAAGTTGGAATATGTGGAAAGCATGAAATTGACATTAAAAAATTATCTCAATAGATTCTGATGACCAATCAGGCTTGCAAAATACGACTATCATAGAATTTCTATATTTGGGAAGACCTGGAGCTAAATTTGGCTGCTTTGAACTTGAGCAGATTCCAGACACAGATCTAGGCTTTTACTCTTTGACTTATTTTTTTTTTCCTTTGACTTGATTTTTAAAATAGTCTTTGGTATACCATTTAATACATTTTTGTTAAAATTTTCTATCTTTGGTAATACATTAAATCCATAATATTATCAATAGAATAAAGGGGAGACTGAAATTTAAAAACAAAGCTCTGGTTTGAGACAGCATATTTTCCTGCAAGATGACTTTTTTGTCTTGGAAAGGGGGAGCTGGTTTAAGTGTCATTAATCACTGGTCGTGCATTAAGTAAAAACACATGTGTATATTTCCCAACATGATCATCTTTGGGTCAAGTGCTATCTCTTGTGTTTGGCAGACCTAGTGGACACAGTCACGGGGCCAAAAGAGGAGTTGTTCACACCGGTTTTGGGCTCTCCAGTGACACCCCCCGGAATCGTGGAGGAGGCCCCCAGCATCTCCCCAGCACTTTCTGATTCTGAGGCATCCTCTGAGAGAAGAACCGGTGTTCCATCCGTTAGCGATGTTAATACAGCTGCCCCATACGGCCTGGACCAACTTGAATCTGAAGGTACCCATGCTTTGAAGGGAATCTTTCCTGGGACAGATTGAATGAGTCACTGAGCAATGATGCTTTGAGAAAAGAGTAAGACGTGGATTCAACCTGCAGTGTAGATCAGGGGTCAGTAAACTATGGCCCAGCCAAATGTGGCCTGCCATCTGTTTTTTGGTTTTTTTTTTTGTGGCCTGCAAGCTGAGAATGGTCTTTGCATTTTAATATTTATTTATTTAAAACATTTATCTTTATTGTTGAGTTTATTACAGATGTCCCCTGTTGTCCCCCATTAACCCCCTCCTTCTCATCATCCCCTTCTTAGGCCTTGGCTGACTATTTTCTGTGTCCATGGTTATGCATGCATGCATGTAAGTTCTTTGGTTTATCTCTTCCCCACCCACCTTCCCTCTATGAGAATCACCAGTCTGTTGCATGCTTCCATGTCTCTGGAGCTATTTCATTTGCCAGTTTATTTTGTTCAATAGGTTCTACATATGAACCAGATCATGTGATACTTGTTTTTCACTTACTGGCTCATTTGGCTTATCATATACTCTTCAGGTCCCTTCATGGTATCTCAAAGGGTAAGAGATTCCTCCTCCTCCTCTTCTTCTCCTTCTTTTCATCCTCCTCCTCCTCCTCGTTCTTCTTTTTCTCCTTCTTCTCCTCCTTCTTCTCCTCCTTCTTCCTTCCCTCCTCCTCCTCCTCTTTCTTCTTCTCTACTGTTACATAGTATTCGGTTGTGTATATCAACTCATCTACTGATAGGAACTTGGACTGTTTCCAGATCTTTGCTATTGTAAATACAAACAAAAGAAGAATAGTATTTTGTGACATGGAAAAGTTATATGAAATTTACATTTCAGTGTTCCTAAAGAGAGTTGCATTGGAACACAGCCACACGTGTTCATTTATGTAGTGTCTGTGGCTACTTTGGTGCCAGAGCAGCAGAGGGTAGTTGGGACAGAGTGGGAATGCCCACATATGGCCTAAAGTATTTACCATAGGCCCTTTTCTGAAAAAGCTTGCTGACCCCTGGTCTAGATCAGTAATTCTCCACTCCATTTGAACATTAGCATCACCTTGGGGAACTTTTAAAAAACCCCAATGCCTGTGTTCTTCTCCCATTGATTCTGATTTGGTTGTGTGAATGGGATAGGGCATCCACATTTTATTATTATTTTTCTTTTAAAGAAATTTTTTAAAAAGGGAGAAGGAGAGAGAGATAGAAACATCAATAATAAGAGAGAATCATTGATTGGCTGCCTCCTACATGCCCCACAATGGGGACTGAGGCTGCAACCCGGGCTCTGACTGGGAATTAAACCATGACCTTTTGGTTCATAGATTGACACTCAACCACTGAGTCACGCCAGACATTTTAAAAGCGTGCTTGAGGTGAGTTAAACATGCAGTTGTATCGAGAATACTGGTTTGCATGGAAAACTTGAGTTTTCCCACCTGATTTTCTTGGATGGAAGTTTTAATGTGGATTGTATTTTCATTACATTGCTCTGGTTGTTCATGTTGGGCTATTCTGTTTTATTCATAACATCTCCTGGTTAAGACTGTTTGGAAAGAGACAGTCTTCTCCCCTGTTAAGACTGAGAAATTCATGCCAGATTATACTTTCCAAGACACTGGCGTTGAGCATGAAATAGATGCTTGGAGCACAGCTGCCCAAACAGGAAGCCTGGGAATATGATGAAAGGCTGTTTCATTCATCAGCATTTTGGCAGGTAAACAGCTCCTGGCTGGAGGTGCAGAATATCCAGAGATTTGCAGTGCTAAGCTTCTTTTTTTTTTTTTTTTAAAAAAAAAAAATATTTTTATTGATTTTAGAGAAGAAAGGAAAGAGAGAGAAAGGTAGAAATATCAATGATGAGAGAGAATCATTGATTGGCTGCCTCTTGCACACCCCTCACTGGGGATAGAGTCTAAAACCTGGGCATGTGCCCTGACCAGGAATCGAACCATGACCTTCTGGTTCAACCACTGAGCCACATTGGCTGGACCCGAGTTTTGTCTTATTTATTTAATTTATTTATTTATTTATATATATATTTTATATTTATATATTTTAATTAATTTTTTACAGAGAGGAAGGGAGAGGTATAGAGAGTTAGAAACATCGATGAGAGAGAAACATCGATCCAGCTGCCTCCTGCACACCTCCTACTGGGGATGTGCCTGCAACCAAGGTACATGCCCTTGACCGGAATCGAACCTGGGACCTTTCCGTCTGCAGGCCGACGCTCTATCCACTGCACCAAACCCGTTAGGGCTGGACCCAAGTTTCTTTCCTTTCCTTTCCTTTCCTTTCCTTCCTTTCTTTCCTTTCCTTTCCTTTCCTTTCCTTTCCTTTCCTTTCCTTTCCTTTCCTTTCCTTTCTTTCCTTTCCTTTCCTTTCCTTTCCTTTCCTTTCCTTTCCTTTCCTTTCCTTTCCTTTCCTTTCCTTTCCTTTCCTTTCCTTTCCTTCCTTTCCTTTCCTTTCCTTTCCTTCCTTTCCTTTCCTTTCCTTTCCTTTCCTTTCCTTTTCCTTTCCTTTCCTTTCCTTCTTCCTTTCCTCTTCCTTTTCTCTTTCCTTTCCTTTCCTTTCCTTTCCTTTCCTTTCCTTTCCTTTCCTTTCCTTTCCTTCTTTCCTTTCCTTTCCTTTCCTTTCCTTTCCTTTCCTTTCCTTTTCCTTTCCTTTCCTTCTTTCCTTTCCCTTTTCCTTTCCTTTCCTTTCCTTTCCTTTTCTTTCCTTTCTTTCTTTCCTTT